GCTAACACCTGCTATGTGTTACTAACAGATGTTTCTTACTTACCTAAGGGAACTGTTATAATTACACTATAAGCTTATTGGAATGGCATTTAACCAAGATAGTTTAGGAACTTTAGGTGGTGACTTTGTGTTCTTTTATTCATCTTTCCTCTAAAAAACTTATAAAAACAAACAAAAAAAACAACCAGCCCTCCTCACTTCATGTCCCCAGCTCATGTTGACCAAACACAGGTCACCACAACGAAGCTTTGGATGTTCAACTTCTCCTTGCTCCTCGGTTCATCCCTGAACATCAAGGAGGAGCTTGCATGTGTTGCTTCAAGCATAGCACTGGAGCCTGTCTTGGCGAGGCCAAGGATGGGGCAGTTTTGTGCCTTACAAGTCGTGCTAACAGCGGGGTTTGAGGGATGCAGACTTGCTGCGTGATCGTGGGCAGCCCACCCAACCTCTCTGCCTCTGTGCTCTTCTCCGTGAAATATTGGCAACGTCGCCTGTTGGGAGGCCTAAGCGAAAGGTGTTTGCCCAGGGCTTTGAGATCTTCGGATTAAAGTAGAGGTCAGTACGAGTAGTTCTGAACGTTGTCCTGTCGCTACGACCTGGCAGCCCGGAGGCAGGCTGGCCCCGCGGTCCCGGCGGAGGTCTGCCGGCAGGGCAGGCTGCGGGAGGTACAGGGTGGGGGAAGCCTGCATCTTCAGACGCGACTGCAGAGGAAGCCACTCTGCGCTCTCCCTCTGCATCTTCATTTATGAAACTAATCATACAATTACCTGCAGGCATGTGTTAAATATGACACTGGTCTCTGCAAAATAATGGGCCAATTGCAAACAATGAATAAAGAGAGGCAGCTCCATTTATAACTGCTGTTTCAACAGAGCTGTGTTGTAATCAAAGTGATCTGAGGGTGACTCATTAATTAATTGATGTTCTTTTTTATTATGTGCTATTGAGTTAATGAGTAATTTGTGCTAGATAACTCTCTGAACACACTGATTACGTGAGATATTTTCTGGGGCTTTCATACCAATGACACGCTGAATAGGTGGAAGATGGTATTTGCTTATGTATACTCATTATTAGCAGGTTCAGGATGAATATAAATCAGCAGAAGGGCATTTTAAAAGGTATTAAGACACATGCAACCCTCACTTTCAGGCTTTAAGCAGATATTCTTCAGCTTTTAACGCCTTAAATAGTATTAAAATCACCTCCTTTATAATACTTCTATCACCCACAACTGGCAGCTTCTAGAAAGGGTGCCTACACAAAAGATTTTTACTGGGAGCATGTTTGTGCTAATGGCTTATTACCTTGCACATATTGTATTTCGGTTTCCTTTTGCAAGGTACTGAAGTGAACAGTAAACAGGTTTGGCTGCATCATTGGACTGAAGTAGGAGAAATGTATTAAGTGAATAAGTAATTGGCTTTTTTTATCTAAAGTGGTATTTAAAAGAATAAAAACACTGTTCTTATATATAGTACACACTTTGCTTTCTGTAGTTTGAGTTGTTAAAGCTTTTGCTTTATTGAAACCACAACATCTCCAATGCCATAGGAGTTTTTTATTCATTAAACAACAAATGGCTAAATTGATAATTTAGTCTGACAACAGCAGCACAGTGGAAGCTTTCAGAAGAATCAGCTAAATGTATAAAATTATACCCAGCAATCACTACAGACCTTCATTTTTGACAAGATTTGTTCTAGGTACAGATGACTGTAAACTACCTACTGCTGAGAAAATTATAAGAAGCTGCTGTATATTACGTTCAAAAAAGCCTTTAAAGTACTTTATCTGTACAGGCAAAACCTTGTCACAGTCCCTGTTTGTTTGTTTCTTTCCCCCACAGTCTCCCTTCTTACTGACCACTTTTCAATCTGTTTTCCTCAAGTCACTTTGTATGTAGGCAATTAGGAACATTTGAGGGATTGCTGGATGATTGTTCTTTATTTACATTACATGAGCATAAATTTGAGCATTTGGGGAGGGTAGGTAGAGGCAAGAAGGTGTGCTTAAAAAAAAAAACCCAGAAAATATGCTAAGCAAGATAAAAATACAATTATGAAACAGATCAACTTTTAGCCCTAGTCACTGCTTCTGCAGAATCCAGGCTGTCTTGATTCATCACCAGTCGTGGCAGATAACAGGCACAGAAGCTTTCTGCAGCTGAAAATTAAGGTTGAGTAATTTGTACTTTTCCACGTGGCTTAAAAACCAACAACGTGAGAATAATATTTTTTTGTTGTTATTATTATTTTTGTCTGGCTAAACTTAGAGATTTATACAGATAGAGATAAAATACACTGAGCAATGGTCACTAGGAGAACATTTTGTATGCAGAAAAAACATGTTGACACACAGAGTGATGGAGAGGGAAACCTAAGGTAGATAACTAAAAGCAACCCAAAGGAATGGTCTAAGATCAATAAAGCGTCCTGGCAGTTAATGTCTCTTCAATATTGTCTTATGATATTATACTTCATTGGAGTTGCAAAAGTTTCCATTAAATATCTCAACTCCCAGTTGTTATTTTAACAGCCAGGCAAGATGGAAGTTTGAAACACAGGAAAATGTGTAATTGATCTTTGACCTACCTCAAATCTAAGTTTATGCTGTATCCTTTACATACAAATTTTAGATATGTATGTGAATAAGATATATGAGCTTAAAGTCCTCAAAGCAATGCCATACCATTGCAGCACTTCAAACAAGCCTATCAGCATTTCTTTATCTTTACATCAATTAAGGTTGATAGACTGGTAAGACTATTTTTCTCTCCATAGCAGAACCACTCTCCTCTTCCCCATTTTGAGCACGTCACAAAACACACACACGCACATATGAGTAACATGGTGTGTAACAATAAGCCGCTATTTTCCCATTCCGCTCTCTTCATTTACCCCAGAAAGAGCTGAGCAGTGGCACTTTGTGGCAATGAGAGAGTGCTTTAGCATTTAGAACACTCTTCGTGTGTAGCTGCCCCCATCCCCAGTAAGGTCTTCCACAGGCTTAGTTGGTTTTGGTGCTCTCCTACGTAAGATCTGTAGTTAGCTACTGCACAGACAAATGCTCTGCTTCTCCCAGAATGTCTTAATTCTACTAGCAACATTTGCATGCATAGCTCTTGGTTTTCTGAAGAGCCAAAAATGCTTTACAAAAGCAGGCAATGCAGTAGCCCCATTCGGCAGACAGGAGCAACTGAGGCACGGAGAAGTTGAGTGACTTGCCCAGGCTTAAAGCCAAGTCAAAGACGGAACCAAGGTCCTTGCTTTCCTGTTCCCCAGCCCTATTTCTGAACCAGGGATTTCTATCCAGTCTGTAGTCTGCTAGTGGAAAGCAGAAGAGAGACCTTTCTAGCTTCTAACTGAAAGACACAACAGAAGCTGGAGGAGAAAACGGACACTGGAATCAAAATAAGGTAAGATGATTCTTCCCTTCCTGGCCGTCCTCACCTCTGTAGAAAGGACAACTTGTTTATTGCACTTGAAGTAGATGTGGAAGAGCCTAATAGTATGTCTGACATCAACTGCTTCATTATCCCAAAGCCATTAAGGGACAGTGGAAGGGAGTGGAAGAGAAACTTGTACTGAAGGTTGGGAAGGAAAATAGTCCACAAAAAAGGGGTAAATTTCATTTGAAAGACTATGTGGAGCTATTTCTTCTAATTAGCAAGAACAGCCTGAGGAGTCGTTGCATCTCTTACTGGTCCTGTATGAGTCAAAGTCCAGTTTTGTGAGCCATGCTTATTTGTAAAAGGGTTCACAGCCAGAAACAAAACCACGCTGTAAAAATAGTCATTAAAACTAAATATCCATTGCTAAACCAAGCCACTGTGCAGTGTACTCCAAACCATACACGAGAGGAATTACCCCACTGCATTACAAAGTGTCTTTCCCCAGCTGCAGTAAAAACGCGTTGAAACTGCGCCAGGGGACAGGAGGAGCAGGGAAGGACGGCACCCAGCCTCAGCAGAGGTGGTGGTTCTTAGGTGAAATAAAAACAAGAGCTCAGCTTCATAGCAACATAGAGTATAGTGGGTTTCTTTTAATCCTTTTTTTTTTTTTTTTTCTGTTTCTTTTTTTTCTTTATGTTATTTTTGTTAAATGTAGGCTGCTTTCCCGGTGAGCTAGATTACAGGGGCAAAGAGAAAAGAATTAAATATGCATTTTGCAACTTTTTAAACATTCATCCTGCTTTCCTTTGCCAAACACCTGTAAGCTCCATCAGGGGCACGAGCACTTAGGGACACCCTGCTGATGCAATCGCTTCATGGCTTTAAAAACAGAGGTCCGCCTCTCCTGGAAAATGGACTGATTGCCGACGGTAGCTGTCAGCAGTGACTCCACCTCTGTCAAAAGGATTTTAATTGCCAGTATTGATGGGAAAACCCTGTAGGATAGGACAATGGACAGCAAAGTACCTGTGTGTGCCAGTGTGGTAACTCTCACTTTCTGTATTGGTATTTCAGAGTTTTGCCCCATCTACATCAGCACTTAAATTACCTTCAGCATTCACTGAGGTGGGTAATTAGAAACCAGTCACTCTCCTAGTGTCAGCTCGAGGTCATCTCCTTAATGTAAACAGACCCTCAGAGGGGGCTGTTTACAGTGCCTTCTAGTTTCATT